CACACACACACACACCCCTATCTTGTTATATGCATCTTTTAAAGTCTACTTTGATAACTTTTGGGGATAGTATTAATTTTATGCTGTGGGTCCGAAATAATCCCTAAGAGTTTATGGAGTGAAGGTTTGGTCCCAAGGCAGTAAAATGCAAAGGTGGAACTTTTGGAAAATGAGTGGATCATGCAGGCTCTGAGTTCCACACTGGCCAATTCATTGATGGATTCTCAACTTAATAGCATATTGTAAAGTGGAAACTTAGGAAATGGGGCCTCAGTGAGGGGTGTGGGTCCTGCGAGTGTGCCCCTAGGAACTCCATCTTGTCCCCAGCTCTCTCCTTCAGCCTGCTCACCTGGTGCACTTCCTGGTTGCTACTGCGAGGTGAGCAGCTTTGCCCACCATGATGCTGTACCTCACCATAGGCCTTAAAAGAACAGAGCCAAGTCACGTGGGCTGAAACCTATGAGACAGTGAGCCAAAAGAAATCTGTACTCTTTAAAGTTGTGTTGTTCAAGTATTTTGTCACAGTAATAGAAACTGATTGACATAATTAGCATCTAGTGTAATGACAGATATATGTGACTGTTGGCCTCCCTCTTTGCAACTGGCTATTTGTTCCTTCTGATTTTTAGTTTCTGTTTCTTCTTTCTTTGTATTTAACTGTTTTAGAATTTCATTTTAATTTATGTATTAGCTTTTGACCGTTCCTTTTAGCATTTTCAGTGGTTGTTTTAGGAATTAAAGTGCATATCTTTACCTTTACAGAGTCTCCTCAGAGTTGAGCTTCTCATTTAATTATGATTTCTGTCTGTCTGTTGGCTCTTTTGGGAAACAATGACTGTAGGTAGCAATACAGTATGATGTCTTATGCTTATATGCTCAAAGATCCTTGGAGATTGCAGTGGGCTAAATAGCCCTGACTGTTAAAAGCCACAACCGTAGTTCTATCTGCTGCCACTTACCATGCAGTATTGGTTGAATAACCAAAGTCTCCAGCCTCAGACATCGCCCTCTGAGTAAAATTTTCCCACCTATCTAATGGAGTGGAATAGAATGTGACAGTGAGTGCATGGAAGTCCTTTCTAAACTAGCAAGGTGCTAATCCTATTTCAAGATCCAAATTACCAGGATTGTTCCTCAGTGAGACACCACTTATCCCATTTGGAGCGCTCTGTCTTGTGTTGGCTTACCTCACAGCCAAACAGGGAGCAGTGAGTGGCAAAGGACAGCTGAGTGTCTACAGCTCAGTAGTGAGTTTGTGAAACCATAGTGCAGAGCTTTGTGACAGCAGCTGTGGCCTGGGATTTAGCATCCAGTGTGTATTCCTGCACTTTCAACTGCCTGATACTAAAGAAAGCATTGCTATGCATCCTGGGACTGAGGGCAGATGCTGATAAGCTCTTCCAAGCCTGTGTGTTAAGTGAAATATCCCCTTCACATCCTCCTGACTCTCCACCCTCCACCCATGCACTGTGTGCTCCAGAGTACTGTCCCAGATAGATGAACAACTAAGAGAGGGGCTTCAAGGTTCACCCAGAGCATGTGTGAAGCTCTCAGATTTCAGAGCAATCTCCTAGGGGCCAGGGAGATGGCTTAGTAGAATAAGTGCTTCCCTGGCAAGCGCAAGGGGCTGAGTTCAATCCCCAGTTCTGCCAAAAAAAAGAAGAAGGAGGAGGAGGGGGAGGGGTGGGGGGGGGGGGGGGGGGTGGAGGTAGAGGTAGAGGTGGAGGTGGTCTTTGGCAGAGCAGTCTCCTATTTTTCCTTGTACTCTGCTTCCAGACTGTTAATGGTTTGTGTCTAGTTGTCCCCCCAAAGCCTCATGCAGTCTTGGAGCAGCTTCTGGAGTTTGTATTTGATTATTGTGGGTGTGGATGCTACACCTGCCCTGGAGCAGGTAATTTGCATTACAATATAAGGGGCAAAGAGAAGCTAGCTGCTTGAGCTGCTACTACCTCTCCTTTGGCTCTTGCTCTTTGCTGCCACCCCCATGAAAAGTTGCTTTCTGCTATGAGCTGCTCTGCCTTGGAGCCAGCTGAATATGGACAGAAACCTCCAGTGACTGTGAGCTAAATAAACCTTTCCTTCCTTCAATTTGGGTGTCAGGTATTTCTCCCAGTAATGAGAGAAGAGTAACTATGACACAGACTGAGACCAGGGCTTCGCAACCGATTTTAGAACGAGAGAGGTGTAGTGGTCAGATTTCCAGTCCTTTCTTCTGTTCCCTGTGGCCTAGAATCTTCAGAAATCTGCCTTGTTGTCACTACTCCAGCAGACTTCCAATTTACCACCTCATAGGTAGACCTGTGCTGAGGCTGTTGGTGCAGAATGGCTGAACAGAGACACTATTCTTCCCCATTCCCATTCCTAAGCACTTAGTGAGTTCACTCCCGCTCCAGATATCAGGAAACTTACACCTAAGGGTGCAATGTAGAGGCTGATAGCTATGATCGCTGGGGTATGCTGCTGCTCATTTGGGTCCCTGTACCTCACATCCATGAAGTATACCTGCTGTCCATGTCCAGAGGACCATCTGCAGTGAGAAGTGTGTCACCATCTTCATGATGTACTCTCCATCATCTGTGAGAACAACTAGATGTGGTCCATGACAAGGATGAAAACCATAATTAATGTGGAAAACGCTACCATTAGCCAGGAGTGGTATCATGTGCCTGTAACTGCAGCACTCAGGAGGCTGGGACAGGAAGATCACTGAGACAGGAGGATCATCGTGTATTCAAGGCAAGCCTGGGCTAGATAATGAGTTCAAGGCCAGCCTGAACTATATAGCAACACACTCTCTCTCTCAAAAAAAAAGCACAAAACAAAAATGCTGCCATCAACAGTCTGTGCTTGCTGTCTTAAATATATAGTAATGTAGTGTTTACATTTGCTCACTTAATAATTTTGATTACTTATAATCTACATTGGAGATACAGTGATAAGAAAGATGAAAGATCATTCTTTCATGGAGCTTACACTTCGTAGTGGAGAGATAGCAAACTCTTAAGTCAGATCAGATAGCAATAATTGTCATCAAGAAAATAGTGTAATGGGACAGGGACTGGGCCAAGGAGGGAGCCAGAGCTTCATCTGAGAGCTGCATGATAACTGGGAGTTATTCTGGGCAGAGAAAACTGCCAAGGAAAAAAGAGCCTCTGGGACAGATCAGAATTTGTCACATTCCAGGAAAGAGAAAAGCCAGAAGTGTGCACAGGGCATCAGGACCACAAAGAAGTAGAACAGAGGAGGTAAAGGCCAGAGCTGTGTTTCTCACCCTGACTGTGCTGAAAATTATCTGAGGAACTTAAAACTCCTGTGTCCAGACTCCACCTCCAGAGATTGTGAATTAATTGGCCATTTTATAAAAGCTCCCAGGGAATCTCATGGTGCTGCTTGGGTTGAGAAAGTCTTGGTCATGCAGTTTTACAGACTCTAGTAAGGAGTTTGGACTTTAAGTGAGGCACAGTGGGAAGCTGCTGGACATTTCAGATTAGGAAAGTAATGTGATCTGATTTGTGTGTTTAAAGGATTTTACTTTGGCTACCATATGGACAGTGGAGGAAAGAGCTTTGTCACAGTGGCATATCTGATAAATGATGGTGGTTGGGTGGTATCAGTGGAAACGATCAGTTTGGTCTTAAATTTTGTACTTTGTGCTCAGAAGATGGATTAGATTTAGAATGTGAGGCAAAAAGTGTCAGAGTTTCCTCAATGTTGAACTGATGAGAAGAAACTGGGGAGGAGCAAGTTGGGGAATTATGGAGAATAATTGTGTTTATTAGTTGTACAAAGCTACAGGTTGGTTTTCTTCATAGATTCATATAGCTTAAAGGTCTGAGCAGCAAAATGAGTTTGACTGATGTATCTTAAATCCTTCACCTTGCATAGTGCTAAGAATTTTTATTTTTTGAAATCTTCCAAAGATGAGCACCAAAAGCAGCTAATCATTTTAGTTTGTGGAACATGAGCTAAGAAGAGAGCCTGAAGATCTTTGGCTTCTTCCTTGCAGGAACCAACTTGGATGTAGGAAGAGACGTAGCACATAGTCAGTAGCTATGTTGCCCCACTAATGAGTGAGAAGGGGGGTGCTATGTAGAATCCTGAGTAGCAGGTTAGGAAATCTAACCTTTCTCCCCACAAAATTATCTTCATACTATTTCTAGCTCATGTTGCAATTAAAGTTAATTTTCCTTCCCTCAGTAGTCTCTGAATGTCTAGCAATTAAAAGTAATCAATATTGTTAAGATGAAGTTATTAGAATTAGTTTTAAGACCTTAAAATGGAATACAAATATAAAATATATTTGAAGTTATTTTTTCCATGATAGAAGACAGATTAAATGTTAAAAAATGCAATAGATAGATTGGTATATGGGAAAGGGAAGGGTGTTCCATATATTAAGCTTTTTGAGGGTAAGAACAGGCTTTTTTTTTTTTTTTTAGCAAAATATTTATTGAGAGAAAGAAAGCTCCTGTCCCAAGAGAGGGACAGGAGAAGGGGGACCGGGCCATTGCCCCCCCCCCAGGCTCTTAGTTTTGTTTTATTTTGTTTTTAATGCACTGGTCTCTTCTCATGTTGAGATTTCTTGTTAGTAAAGTTTGATAGACTCTTTGCTAAAATCCTGAAGTCGGTGCTAGTCAGAATGGCCAGGTGGGAAGAAGGCTTCTGAGATGCTGACTGCCCTGTTTGGTGTATTTGTTTGCTCCTACTAAAGAAATCTAGATATAGCTTCCTTTGAACAAAAGGCAAGAGAATTCAGAGTGTTAGAGCTCTTGGGAAAATGAGCAAGTCTGGAACTCCTTAATAAAGAGCTTTAGAGTGGCTTGCAAGCCTCAGAGACCGTATCAGCAGCCTGTGAGGCGAGGCAGGGTGTTGTTGGACTTGGAAATGTCAAGCTCCCTTGCTGCTCCACTTCACCATAGGAGTCCCTTGTGGTGAGTGGAGAGAATGTTGATTGCCGGCCGGCCTGCTTAGTAACACATTTTGTCCTCATTCACTTACAGATAACTGTAGTGACCTGAACTCAGAGCTGCAGAGGGTGCTGACGGGGCTGGAGAGTGTGGTCTGTGGCAGGAAGAAGAGTAGCTGCAGCCTGTCTGTGGCTGAAGTGGACAGGCACATCGAACAACTCACCACGGCCAGCGAGCACTGCGACCTGGCTATCAAGGTCGGCCTCCCTCTCCCGCTGCGCACTCTCTGAGGTTATGACTCCTCTCAGATACCTACGAGGGGTGAAGGTTTCCATGGAACCAACACTGCAGATTGGATCCATAAGTTTGTTTTGAGCTGAATTTCTTTATGAAAAGATTGATGGTCAAGATTGCTGGCTCTGTCTAAAAGGGACAATTTACTTGAAAATAGTTCCATTACTGATATTAAGCATATCATTTTAAGTGCGGCTCACTGCATGGCACATTTGCCTTAAAAGTTTATTAGGGCTTTAAGGCTTCTGAAATACAATTGCATGAGTTACCAATCCACATTGCTAGCAGAACAGAAAGTTCAGGGCCTGGGTCATCTCATCCCCAATACAGTGCAACAGGGGTTCAGTCATGTCTTCAACATGCTTTCAGCTGACTGCTGAAGGAAAAGCAGGTGCCAGGAGTTTGCTGCCTCTGCGCATGTTCATCATGAACAAGGGGATGCCAGTACTGTTGATCCTGGGCCTCAGGTGTCTTTATATTACTTCACCTTAGCTTAGTGACCTAGACCTAACTTCAAAGTCATAGGGAGAACTTGAGCAAAGGAGCAATCTAGGCTCAAGTTTCTGCCAACAAGCATCCTGAATTTCCTAAAAGAGCTGTGGTGGCTCAAGATAAACCATGGTGATATACGCTGATAACACAGCTGTATTCCTGCCTTTCCTCGTCTCAGTTTCACATGTGTAGGTAATGGCGGGGCACTGTTGTTCTTTCTCTGGAGTCCCCTGGCCCCCATTCTTTATTGTAATGTCAACTTGGGTCCTAGTTCCTGCCTTGACATCGAGGGAAGGAAAAGGACAAGAGTTTCTGCTAATTAGCAAGACACATAGTGCCTGAGTGAAGCCAAGTAGGATCAGAGCCTTAAATTTGTGAAGAGAACCAAGCATAGCATAGGGAAGGTGGAGCAAGATTTGGGAAACTGTCTTCACACGGGAACCACAGTGAGCAGTGGAGAGTGGCAGCCTTCTGTTTCTAGTATAGCACTTGAGACTTTGTTTCTCATCATATCTCTCCATTGCTTTCTGTCCCTGCACCAAGGTCCCTGTTATGGTTTGTGTCTAGTTGTCCCCACAAAGCCTCACGTCATGGGGCAGCTTCTGAAGTTTGTGATTCATTCATGATTCAGTGCTGGGATTATGGGTGTAAGTGCTACACTCACCCTGGGGCTGACAGCCTGAATAAGGGAGGAAAGAAAGACTTGTTACTGCCATTGCTCCTCCCTGTTTAGTCTTGCTGTTTTCAGCCACCATGAACTGCTGCCCTCTGCCATGTGCCACTATGTCTTGGAGCCAGCTGAGTATGGTCTGAAATCTCCACTGACTGAGCTAAACAAGCCTTTCCTTCCTTAATTTGGGGTGTCAGGTATTTTGTGCCGGCAACAAGAGAAAAGTAATGGAGACAATCTCCCTCCTGCTCAAACATCAGCTGGCTTATGCTTTCTTTTCCAAAAGATAACGCAGGTGGAGGAATAGTTCCTGGGAACAAGCAGCGTAAGTTCTTTTCTACTTAATTTTATGCATTTTTCTTCTCTATTAATACTGTTGCAAATGTATTTTTAGGAATTTTGAAAATACAACATTCTCTTCTTTTTAGTTCACAGCTATCTTATTAAATCCCTGCTGTCTGAGAAACCTCCACAGTGAGCTTCTTCTTTCCTGTGTCACTGAGGTTTATTTTTGTCTTCCTGTGCATCTTGGTACTGAACCTCGTTCACACCATCTGAATTGTGATGTGACACTAAAAGTGAGAAATGCTTATTGCTGAGTTGGCACATGGCAGGCCTGTAATTTAGGAAAGTTCAAATTAAACACTGCATGCAGTGTGCAGCCTGGTGTTTGTCACTGTGTTATCAGGATCACTGACTGACCTGCTCCCTGCGTGTGTGCTTCCCAGCCAACTGGGGAACTCGAGGGAGGGAGAGAATCGTTTGCGGGAGCTTAGCAGCTGTTCCCACCTAGATTGAAATTCCAGGAAGGGACTGTTTTCCTTACCCTGAGGACTGCTGGGTAACACAGAGTAAAATCCAGACAAAAGAGAGTACCTCATCTAAAATTAGGGAGAGGACCATTCCGGGGGCTTCCCGAGCCATCATGCAGTGATGTAGCTCTAAAACCCTCTTCTCTGTGTCCCTCTACTCCTGTACAGCTTGTTGGCTTCATGTCCACATTCTCCAAGGGAACTGAACGAGCTTTTCTTTGTGGTCTTATTTTGCAGACAGTTGAAGAGATTGAGGGCGTGCTTGGCCGGGACCTGTACCCCAACCTGACTGAAGAGCGGTCTCAGTGGGAGAAGGAGCTGGCTGGGCTGAGGGAAGAGAATGAAAGCCTGACTGCCATGCTGTGCAGCAAGGAGGAGGAGTTGAACCGGACCAAGGCCACCATGAACGCCATCCGTGAGGAGCGGGACCGGCTGCGGAGGAGGGTGAGCGTGGCCACCGGCTGGCCAGGCCTTCGTGGGCATTGGACTGAGTGAAGCAAACTCTCATTGTCAGGGCAACCCCGAGAAGTTCAAGAAGTCCCAGGCTTGTGACTTGCTGGACCCTTCACATCATGAAGTCGTCCATTAAAGTAGTTTCAAAGTGCTGAGGTGTTGAGAAAATAGTTTTAACATCAGTTTTCTCTGGAATCCTAAACCTAGTAGTAAAATTTTATCAGGGCAATGAATCGAAACTATTCCACCACTTACATAGTGTGTCCCCAAAGATAATTAGCTTGTTTTTTTAAAAGGTAATCTAATATTTTTATAATTTTAAAAATATAGATTTTTCTTTTTCAATATATTTCAGCTACATGTTCTTTAACTTTATAGTATCTGCTGTCATTTATTTATAGTGCATCTAATGGAAAAATGACATCTTTTCTAGCAGACACTTATTAAAGTTAAAATAATGGTGTATGTGTATACATGTGAAACATTCTGTTTTTGTACGTATGTGTGTACACATGTGTGTCACTACTTATATTTAGCTCAGAGCCTACACTAGTTTGAAAACTACTTTGGTTAGGACATATCAGTTACTAAGATGCTGGCATTTCAGCATAGAAGCATTTGGCAGAACTGTTAAAAGTACTGTCTTCCAAAGATACAGAGACCTGCAATACTTCTTTGCGAATTTGATCTGTATTGGACTGGAGTGAAGCAATGAATTGTTAATCAGACATACTTCAATTCCCTTGGCACTTCACTTTGAATTACAAGACCTATTTTATTCTGCTCAATCTGAGACAGTATTAGCTCACTTTTTAGTTGTACTCTGAGTGGTAGTTTTGCACGGGGTTGAGTTAAAAGGGGGAAAGCTACCTTTAGCAGGTCTTCTCAGCCTTTACTGCTGCTGTTTCTCTATAGCCTTTAAGGAGCACCTTGGAGGTAGCTTGTTCTTCAGTAAGGTCAATGTGTGTCTGTCACTTGACTTTGTAACCTATACATAAGTATTCTTTGTTGCCTTTATTCATGAATATGGATGAAGTTACTATTTTTGAGTGCTTTCAGGTATGTTCTTCTTTTATGACTAATTAAAGGGCCAGCGTTCTTCTGTGCACGTCTGAACACTTTTCCTTACTCACATGCATAAGCATATTTTCCATTTCCAGCTCTATCAGATAGCATTCTGCACACTTGCATCAGCAGGTGTAAACCATCCCAGTCAGCAAAGGCTTTCCGTGGAGAGCCAGCTGGGCCCACGTCAGCACTGAGGCCCACACAACCTGTAATTTCCGGGTTGCCTCCCTTGATCTTTGTGACTCACCTGCCCATTAGATAGGTGCTTGCTTTTAGTGTGTGTGTTCTGGCGGAGGATGTTTTGTGCAGAAAATGTTGATCTTAAGTGTAATTCTGTATGGTACTTTTGAATAAATTTCCTCTTTAATTAAGTTACTAAAGCACAGAACAACCCTTGTATTGTAACTAGCAAAAAGCCAGTACTCCTCCCTCAGTGTTTTCTCCAAAATTGGAGGTCTGTAACACTGGAGGACATTAAGAACACCATGATAGTCTCAGGGATTTTGGCACACACCTGTAATCCCAATATCCTGGGAGGCCAAGACAGGAGGATCGCGAGTTTGAGCCTAACCTGGGCAACTTCACAACTTGGTGAGACGATCCTTCAAAATAACAAAAAAATTTTTTTCAAATTTAATAAAACAGGACCAAGACTGTAACTCAGTGCAGAGGTCCTCAGTTCAATCTATATATGAGGTGGGGATGGGGATGAGGATGGTTCAAATAATGTCGGAATATTTATTTACCTTATGTATCAAAGCTCTGATGCTGTGTGTATCTAATGGAATCATAGTCTAAACTGACCAGCAAAGTCACCATGAGTCACTGGAAAGTTACCTAACCTCTCTGTGCCTCAGTTTACTTTGCCATAAAGTGTAGATAATAAAAGCACCCAGTGCAGAAAAGTTAGATAATACTCAGAACATGGTTACATGGCAGGGAACCTGCCAAATCCAAACTGTAACCTGCAGTTTCACTGTTCTGTCGTCTGGACTGCTTTCCTGTGTTCTGCCCTTCACCCTTTTCCTCATCCTGTCTCCTCTATCCATGCAAGCTAGCAGTTGGGAAACGAACTGGTTACAGTCACACAGCTGTCCAGTTCCATAGGGCTCCTCAGATCCCTTTTCCTAACACAGGGCTGCAGGAAGGTGTGGTGAACTTTTCCAGGGAGAAACTGCCCTCGATGTCTGTTCAACACTGTATGAGTCCAGTTGAGTATTCCTAGTGTAATATGTGGGCTGGGGAGATAGCTTAGTAGAATAAATGCCTAGTAGAATAAATGCCTGCCTGGCAGGCACAAGGTCCTGAGTTCAATTCCCTGTACCACCAAAAAAAAAAAAAAAAAAGCAAGACCCTAATGCAATATGCCTCTTTTCTCTGTGAGATGAAGGACTTGTAAGTGGGGGGCCCAAGACAGAGAATCCTCAGAGCTGTGGAATGTGCTCCTTTTCCTAAGGAACATTACGCAGGGTTCCTCTGAAGTATTACCTGCACCTGGGCTCTGGAAATGGTAAGGTTACTTTCTATCTGACTGTACCAGTGTTCCTTCATCTGTCTACCAACAGCCAAGCCTGTGATGAGGTCAAACTCCTCGCAGTCTAACTCTGCTGTATAGAAAATAGCTGAAACCATTTGTTGGAAAACTGGTAAGAAATTAGGAAAATGGCCAAAATGCTGCCCATTGATGCAACCATTCTGATAATCAGATCCAAGTATGTACTTTAGTGGGCAAAGAACAAAAGAAAGAACAATGCACCTCTCAAACCTACAGAGATGGAAATGCTGCTGGGCTTGTTTTTCTTCTCCTGGTTCATAATTTATCTCTTCTGTTTCAGCCTCCTCAAAGTTTTCATCAACAGTTAAATTCCACTTTCCCAAAACACCATGTAAATTAGATGTATAAGAATAAATATGTGGGGGCTTTTATGTAAATGGTTTTTGATTTCTGAGTCATTTGGGGGCTCCAAGAAAAGCTTTACAAAATCTCCACTAGGAGAAGGATTCTCAGCAAAACGCTCAAGAAGTACATTAGAATAAACTGCCTCACCCTTAAGTGGAGTTTTTCTAGCCTCATGAGTCTCACCCTTCTATCGTATAGGAACCATCTCATCTCCAACAGCTCCATTACACAATGAAGCTATGAAGTATAGTAGTTTAATTGCTTGAAGTCACAGCTACTCGGTGAGCACTGCTACACCTCACCAGTAAACAGACATGCTCTTGGATGGCTAACAACGTATCTAATCCCACCTACACCCCAGTGCCACCTTTCATTTCTGTTTGTCATTCATCCATGAGCCACAGGCACAGATCACTTCTTCAGCCTGCAGCCCTTTGTTGCTCCTACAGTGCTCCTGGCACACAGCAGCACCTGCAGCTGCCCCGCCACACACTCACCCAGCCTCACATTTGCGGGGAGACTACTGCCATTGCAGAAACTGTCTTTGGCAGCTCTACCACCAAATTCCTAATCCCCAATTTTCTGTCTGTGCTATGTCACCTTCTGTCTGTGGCTGATCTCATGTGCTCCTGGCTCTGCTCTTTGTGTGACTTTCTTGTGTGTGTTTGCTCTGCTGTGCAGAAAGATCAGCAAATTGCACCTCTCAGTTAAAAGCATACTTGTTAATATAAGCAAGGTCCTTTTTTGAATTTACTTGTTCCTTTTGTCCTTTATTCCTACCCTCTCCCCCACATTTGTGTGTGTGTGTGTGTGTGTGTGTGTGTGTGTGTATCCTCCTTGTAAGATACTCAATGTATTGTTTGTTCTTTTTAACTTAGAGAAAGTTTCTAGGCTGCAGCCCTCCTTGGTTTCTTTGCCTCAGCACTCATTGTAAGATCTGTCCAAAGCGCTGTGTGTCCGTCCAGTTGGATGCATCACAGGGCTTCTAGTGTCGGTGATGAGCAGCCTTCACTGGGCCAAGGCTGACAGCCAGCCTCCCTCGCACTCCCCAAGCTGCAGACAGCTCTCATGCATTTCCCTTTAGTCCTGTGGGGATTTCTCTGCATTCTACACCCAAGTGTGAGATTTTTTAGGCCTAGGATGTGGGTGTCCTTATTTTAGTCATGCTAGTGGCTTCTTGAATGGTCTGTCAGTCCATCCACTCAGCAGCAACACAAGAGGGTTCCCCCTGCCCCAACACCCCTAGGCTTTTTGTACTTACCTTTGTCTCTCATCTCACAGTTTTCTGGGTTTAATTTCTTAAGCATGTGTCCTTAGGAAGTTCTTCTAGCAAAGATCTGTGGATCATAGAAGCTTAATCTTTGAAAGTATCTTTATTTTTGCCTACACTTAAGCTTTTTGAATTATTAATTTATTTTTAATTTTAAGGCAGGGTCTCACTATGTTGCCTAGACTGGTCTTAAACATCTAGGCTTAAGCAGTTCTTCTGCCTCAGCATCCTGTGAAGCTGGGACTATAGGTATGTGTGTCACCTAGTCAGGCTTGTTTTTAACCAGATAGATAGATAGATAGATAGATAGATAGATAGATAGATAGATAGATAGATAGAAAACATATTGATTGGATAAGGAGATTTTTTGATTGTCTACTGTTAAATTGGCTTAACATCTACTCAAACATATCTGTCTATCAGTATTTGGAATGGAACCCAGGGCCTTCACTCTGAGCTATGTTTCCCAGCCTTTTTATTCTTTATTTTGAGACAATGTCTCTAAATTGTTAAACATTCCTTTTTTCTTACTGGTGAACAGTCAAAATCCTTTCTTTTAGTTTTTTTTTTTTTTTTTTTTTTTTTTTTTTTTTTTTTTTTTTTAAATACGAAGTATGTGATTGCTATCTGCACTCATGCTGCTGTGCAGCAGCACATCAGCATTTCCTGCTCCTAACTGGAACTTAGTACCCATTGCTCTACCTCTCCCATCCCTCTTTCTTCGTACTCTCCCTTCCTTTGGTAACCAACATTCACCTCCCATCTTTTTATAGGAAATCAACCTTGTTAGATGCCACACAAGTGCTGTCCTCACTCTTACTAGCTGCATCACTTCTACAGATGTCAAAAGAAATGATCAGTAACTCAGAACCTTAACACGTGTGTCATCTTACAGTTCTGAAAAGGCGACATGTGGAATGTGTCACATTTGCTAAAATCCAGGTGTCAGAAGAGCCGTGGCCTTCTGGAAGCTTGAAGGGAGGGATGGTCACCTCTTCAGTCTTTCGCATGTCAGAGGCAGCCTGCCTTGTGTGACTGTATGCACTCTGCAAAACCTGCAGTGTAGCATCCTCAGGGGTAGGGGTTACCCCCCAGTCCTTCTCCTCTTCCTCTTCCTCCTCTTCCTCCTCCTCCTCCTCCTCCTCCTCCTCTTCCTCCTCCTCCTTCTCCATAGGGTCTCACAGTGCAGCTAGGACTCATAGTGATCCTCCTGTTTTCAGCCTCCACAGTGCTGGGATTACTGGCATGTGCCACCATGCCTGGTCTCTGTTGTCAGCTCACTGTGCCCAGGGGGTGGGGCTGGTGCAGCATGTGGTGCCAGGGATCGAGCCCCAGTCCCTGTGCTTGCCTAAGCAGGCATTTAGTCAACTGAGCTATCTTGCCAGCCCTTCAGGGCTCTACTTCTGACCCCTCCTCCCCTCCTCCAAGCACTGTTTCTACCTAAGGTACCATACTGTACCTAAGGTACTACACATACACACCTCAAGGACATGGACTCTGGGGGCCACAAGTCAGCCTGTTACAATAGTCTTGCTGGTACTGGGTTTTACAGTGACAAGATTTTTTAGTGATACTGACACAATTTTCTGGAGAGCAACTGTCAGTGACTATTGAAGGCAGTCACTGACAGTGTGATAGAAAATGAGATGGCCAAGACCTGTGCCTTCAGAGTCTTAAGATGCTTCATGCTCACCACAGATATTTTTGATACCTATTTGTTTTATTGCATCATTTCTCATTGTCTGTCCTGAACTTAACTGCTGTGATGTAAATCACAGTTTGCTTTTGTTCTTGGGGGTGGGCTTATGTGATTTAGGTGACCAGCTCTCTGGCTTTGTCTTTTATCCCTCTGTGTCTGATGGCTTTGAGATCTGAGTTTCCTAGTCATAGGAAACTGTGGGTCCTATTTCTTAATACTGCTGCATGGTTTTAAATTTAATTTCTGAGGCAGGAGGGGGCCTGCAAATTCCAGACCAATGTTGAGTATTAATGTATAATTTTGGGGTCCCATGATGTACACATGGTGCATATTTGGGCTTTGTACGTAAATGAGTCATAGATCTGGAGTTTGGATTTTTATAGATCTACCCTCTGCATAGCTCCAGTGATTGCTTCAGACTTTTCAGTGAGTCCTTTCTGTCTGCTTTGCACCAGTGGGTAGGGCAGGAAGGCTCCAGGCTTTACGGCATGGGGGCTTTACTCGGACTGCCTGGCTGGCAGGTGCCCTGCCCCGACTCCTGCTGATCCCACATTGACATCCCTCCCTCTATGTTGTCAGTGCCTCAAGTACCCCCTTCCTCTTGACCTTGGGAGCTGCAGCTCTCACTTCTGCACTTACAGATTTTGTTGTCTGCCTTTCAACCCAGTGAATTTCCCTCCTGTCTCCACACTTGAGCAGGAGACGTGCCTGCTACTTCAGCTCAGGCTGTCACGGGCTGGACATTCTCAGTTGCTGTCTACTCAGTTACAGAAATCTCTGAAAACCAGTGTGTTCAGCCAGCTGTCTTTCTCATCCTGGTCTTTGTGGGATCTTCCGTGTCAGAGTCTAAACCTTGCTCCCCTTCTTCAGGTACATTAGTCTTCTCCCTTTGTAGGTGTAATGTAATTTTTAAATTGAGTTTCTTGCATTATCTTGTGCACTCTTCCTCAAAATCAAGGTGGGAGAGAACTCCTTTTAACCCATCCAGCTGGCTGGCATTCTGTGACAGACTCAATACACGATAGCTGGAACCGACGCCACTGGCTTATAATCATCATGAAATAATAAAGCACAGACCAAAATGACCAATTTAGTATCCGTTAGTTTTCAGAGACATTTCCAGAACTGAAGCTTTTAAAATGAGAGCAGATATTTGGATTTAGAAAATACTTTTGGCACAGCTGTGCACACATATGACTCATACAAAATGACTATAAGTAATTGTTCCTGCTCAGGTAAAATAGAACATAGGCACTGTTTTGTCTTAATTTACAGTATCCTCTATATTTTCTCAATGAACATGTTTTACTTTTGTGGTTAGAAGAAAAGACATTTTAACTAATTGAGATTTTAAGAAGAGCAGACACTGCTTGGCTTGTCGAGCCAATCCAGCATAAACGCTCCCTCTTGCCGTGGTGGATGAGCATTTTCTAGTCTGGAAACTGTGTCCAGGTGAGCCCTGTCTTCTGTTAGGAGGACACAGCCACTTCCATCAGTGCACAGTTCCCAGAAGCCTCTGCAGAGCATCAGCCACTTTTGAGCTATTTTACCATTGAGTGCAGTTTGCTCCCGGGGATTTGGCTTCTAATATGTTGATGAATTATTGAAGTTTCAATTACTTTTGCTTCCCAAGTTAGCAGAATGGAGATATCGCCGATACTCCCTGTGAAAAGCTGCCCTGTGGTTTGTAGAGTGGGGCCTGTGTGCCTGGCCCCTGCCCGTGCGAGAAGGGCTTCAGCGGCAGGGTCGGTTCCCCTCTGCCTGTCTGGGAGACTGAAGTGCTTCCTGGCCTTTGGAGTCCCTCAGGTCGCTCACAGAAAAGTCTAGTACGTGGGCCTTTCCAGTGCTATAATCAGTAGCCCTTTAAGATAGCCACTGTATCCTGGTGATAAAGCTGTGATCACAGAAGGACTGACGTCTAGGATTAGTTCCACTTATGTGGAAATATCTCCCTTTGGAAGCCACAGAGTTGTCACTTAGAGAGGCAGGATTGGTACATTGAAGTTTTCTGCAGGTAAATATATATCATAAATAAATTCAAAGGCCTTGTGTTACTTTTCCCCCAGTAAGGCTTCTCAGCTATTCCTTCTCCCTCTTCCCAGGATGTTCCTGTCCTAGCTCGCTTTTTTGCTGGTAGCTTCACTGCCATTTCCTCTTAGCCTGCCATCCCTCCCAACTCAGAAGCTATTCTAAACCCACTTCCAAACAAGAAGCAGTTCTGCCTTTCCTGCTTGTCATCCGGACCCCCGCACTAGTCCACCTGCACTCTTCTCAGACCCTAGCCTGGCACCACCAAAGTTGGCCCCTTACTCTGTCATCATCTGTAAGATCCCACTCAAGCACACTGCTCTCTTGGGGTAACTGCAGATGGAGCTGTGTTCTTCCCCTTCTCTACTGCCTGTAGCACCCAAGTGCCTTTGTACTGAGATTCTCTCTCCTCCTGGCTCTGCATCCCGGGACAATGGAGGCTCCATTCTGGTTCCCACAGTGTCCAGAATAGCATAAGGCACTTGAGGCTGCATGAATAAATAGTCCTTAAAAGTATACATCTCACCTCTGCCTTGCAGCTCCTTAGATAATCTTCCTGGTGTTAGTGAAGAACAAGTCAGTAACTGGTCCTGTGAAGGACTCAGTGACTTCGTGGACTCTACCATGGGGGTAGCCTTACAGTGAAACTGAGCCTTTCCTAATAAAGGAAACCTTTGCCATCTGCCCATCTGGTGGCTCTTGTTTTTTGTTTTTTCTTTTTGTTTTTTGGCCAGGGAAACGATCAACCCTGTCTTACTGCCTTATGGTTTCAGGTTCGAGAGCTTCAAACTCGACTGCAGAGTGTGCAGGCCACAGGCCCCTCCAGCCCTGGCCGCCTCACTTCTGCCAACCGTCCTGTTAACCCTAGCACTGGAGAGCTGAGCACCAGCAGCAGCAGCAATGACATTCCTATTGCCAAGGTGAGCTCCTGGGGTTGAGACCAAGGGCAGGAACTCCTCCTGTTATCTGAAAGTGCCAGCCTTCACTGAGCATGCCACTGCAGGCATGTTACTAGTTCAGCTGCCCACCAGTGTTCCCCTGGGACTTTGCACAGGCCTCCCACACTGAGCTGCAGGGGGAGATAACCCACTAATGGTTTTAAGTCTCTCCTGGCTGCCACCTGGACACCAGCTCTCATTAATCAGCCAGCTGGAGAATGTCACAGCTGACAAGTTACAGTGGCGAGAGAGACATTATGTTAAGTGCTATAGCACTTCACAGTAGATGCTAGCTGCTCTCAGGGACCAAGGTTCAGCCCACAGAGACTCACATAATGAGCCAGTGATCTTCTCACTCACAGGACCCACAGTTCTAGTTCCATCAGCAAAAAAATAAAAATCATGGTCAGGCTGTGGCGGGGCGGGGGGGCAGGCTGTGGCAGGGAAGGCAGCCCCAGGCCCCAGTCCTGTATCCCATCTACCACAACAAAGTCTGATCCAGCCCAATATGTCAGTGTTGCTGAGTTCAAGAAGCCATGAGTTAAACTGATGGTAGAAGAATTGAATAAGTGAGATGTTTGAAACACGTTAGTAAATCAGTTTAATTTAGGGCCTGCATAGTGAACCTGAACAGTATGTACTTTTTTGATCTTTGTTTTGGTTTTCAAGATTGCTGAGAGGGTAAAGCTATCAAAGACGAGGTCCGAGTCCTCCTCATCTGATCGGCCAGTCCTGGGCTCAGAAATCAGTAGCATCGGGGTGAGTGTTGCTGAGGCAAAGGTATGAGGTACAAACCCACAGACCTCCATAGACAACTACTCCTAGCTAATAAAAGAACATCTAAACTTCACCTCCAGTAACCCAGTAACTTCGGCTATAGTGGTGTAGGGCAGCAGGGAGCTCAAATTGGGGAGAGAAGGTCAGACTCAGCAGCACAGGCTTGGGAGATGCAGCTGTATTTTGATCATGTTTTATGCACTGCTTTCATAGTAGGTAGCTTTCTACACTAGAATTACAATACATAAATCAAGATCTAATGCCAGATTCTCAAGAAATGTTAGCTTTTAAATTGTTCTGCATGCAGAGTATGCCTGGGAACCTGAAATGACACTCCTTGGAAGTGACATTTCAGAAGTGTCTAAACAAATTCATACATATCTGTACAGGTATCCAGCAGCGTGGCAGAACATCTGGCCCACTCACTTCAGGACTGCTCCAATATCCAAGAGATTTTCCAAACACTCTACTCACATGGATCTGCCATCTCTGAAAGCAAGATTAGAGAGTTTGAGGTGGAAACAGAACGGTTGAATAGGTAAGGAGCAATTCTCCACACTTTTGGGGGATGAGAGCTGCACCTTCCCTTGTTTTCATTATAAACTGTGACTGCAGGGAGGCCCTGTTGGTGGGGTGAGAGGCCTTCCTTCCGCTGAGGTCTCAGGAGTGTCACAGCCACCACAGCCAGCTTAATGGGCGTGTGACCTGCACTCACACAGGGCCTCATGCTTAGAAAGACTCCATATTATTTTACTGCTCTGCTGGTGCTGTTTTAAATTCTTAGTAATTTATGAACCAGGGGCTCCAGTTTTTCATTTCTCTGGACATCACATATTATACAGCCAAGTCTCGGGAGCAGTGTACAGAGAAGGGTAAGTAGGTCACACACAGATGGCTGCCACACATGTAGGCCTGTGCTACAGAGATGGAGAGAGACGTCCTGAAATGTTGAGTCAGCATCCCAGAGGTGCCTGGACCTACCAGGAAGCAGCGGAGGCGGTCTGGTGGAAATACTTCTGGTGTGGGAAGACATGCTGCTCTAACTCTCCCTGTTCTTCCTGCTAATTCCCTAATTTTTATTTATGCTTCTGCCAGTGTGCCCAATGCTGAGCCCCACATCATATTCTTATTGTCCTACTGAGAGTAAATTTACCTATACTTTGGTGGATCCTTCCCAGTCTTGCTGACAGTTTAAATTTCCCTTCTGCCTCTTGGCCAAACCTGGAGTTCGTGTTCATCCCAGTGGTAGAAGAGCTGCTAAAAAGCAAAGGAAAAGGACCGTGGCCAAGCCATGCTAACCACCCTGACTCAGAAATGGTTCCATGGTAGCAGAGTGGATTTTTGAGCCACATCCAAGTATGATGTGGCTACTTTGACCTAAAGCTTATGAGCTAACTAGGAAAAAAATATAGACACCATTCCCATCTACCACGGTGGAGTTCCATTCCCTTTGTGTATGGCAAAACTGAAAAAATTGCTATGTTGGTCCTTCCTGATTGAAAGCTGTTTAATTTGAGAAATAAGGAAATGTGATAGTCTAAGTCATTTAAAGTATTAAAATTAAATAGTTTCCTTATTAAATCCTAAATACTTAAAGTGACAGTCCTGAAGATTACCAAGAGGCAGTGAAGCAGAAGCCATCTCCTGGTATCACTGACCTGGGAGTGCTTAAAAATTGAATCCGATATGCCCTTTGCTGTTTAATGAAGTCAGATGCCTGCAGGGGGGCCTTCATTTTAGTAGGGATCTGCTCTCTGGTGACTGAGGTCCTTAACAAGCCTGCTTTGGGGCTGCACTGGGGGAAGTTCCTTTTTCCTGAATTATGTGCAATCAGGAGAGCCCAAAGATGAGAGAGAGAGATTCAGTACTTGTGGCTCATGTATTATGTTGTTTAGCAGCTTATAATGGGCTCTCACAACTGTTTCATGTTCAACTTATAGGGTAAGAATAGTACAGTATCATTTTGCAAATGAGAAAACAGGCTTTGAAGTTGGAAGTAGAATAACCCTTCTTAAGTCTAGAGCTATTAAATAACTGAGGCAGAATTCTGATTCCTGCCCTTTGACCTCACCTCCATTACCTAGTCTGTGATCATAGCTACAGCAGGAACCTAGAGATGCCTAGAAATAATCTACTAGTATTTCTAGATGTCTGTTACTGAGCTACCTATCTCCACATAGGCCTGTTGGTCCCCAGAAATGCCAGCCTGTATCTTTGTGATTTCTGAGGGTCGAGGACAAGAGAAGTACCTTCCTAAAGTATACGTCCTCATTTCACACATCTGTGCTATGTACCTACTATGTTCTCCTCTAGTCTATATTTAAAGCAAGTAAAACAGACAAAGTTCCTGGTTCTGCTATGGAGGTAGACAAAAATGCTCAAATAAGAAAAGAAAGCCCCAAGACCCTCAATATAGCACTGCGAGAGAAACAGGTTATTATTATTGTATGTGATGCTGAGGATGGAATTCAGGGCCTTGTCCCAGTTAGGTAAGCACTGGCTCTGAGGGGTGATTTTTTTGTTTTGTTTTGTTTTGCTTTGCTTTTTATAGATGGCCAGGAAAAATGTCCGGGGAGCGGGGGGTGCTTGTGACAGACCAAGAAGAATCTTGCAGACCAAATTACCAACCTCAAGCCTAGTAAAAAAGTAACCATGGAGGAGAAACTGAAAACAAGTGGGTCTGAGCTAGGGGAAGGGAAGAGGAAGGGAAGGGAAGGGCCCAGCTCTCTGGGATAATGATTTTGAGGCCATGGGCAAATTTTATTCTAAGTTTGATTGGAAGTTGTTAGGGGCTTTTAAATAGGGAGGAACATGGTCTTTTATCCTAAAAAGATCATTTAGAGTGAAGAATGATAGGGTGGAAACAGAGAGGTGGTGGAAGAGAACAAGGATGGTACCACAGGCCTGGTTCAGGATACATGTGACTGTAAAACCAGTGGAAGCCCCAGCAGATTAGGTCTGGATGTAAGAGAAAGGGTGAACTCAAAGATGCTTGGTATCCAGCTTGTACTGCTGGGGAGATGATAGCGGGGAAAGCCAGAGTTCGGGGAAAATCAACGATTCCTTTATTTCCTCTTGGAATGTTAAATGGGAAGTTGGCCTGTGACTACCAGATGGAAATGTCAGCAGACAGCGGAGTATGTGGGACTGGAACTCAGTGAGAGGTCTGGGCTGGAGAAGTTGGAGAGCCACGGGAACAGAAATGCTGAAGTTTGGGACTGGATAAAATCACCCCCTGTGTGAGATCAAGTTCTTCATCTGCGCCCTGAGCGAATGCCGAGCCTCACAGCTTTTATATTAAAAAAAAAAAAAAAATGAGATGGAGAACAAATTGTCATGGGTCAAGGAAAGACTCACAATGACCCCTGGCCTGAAAGTGAGGGAGGCACTCTGAAAGGAGCATTTTGGGCTTGGCTGCATGGAGGCCTAGAGCTGAGTAAATGGTTTTGTCTAATTAGTGGGGACTGAATGCACCCCAGAATCATAAATGAGAGTGAGGATGGTTTGAAGAAGTCTAAATATGAACAGGACAAGAAAGCTATAATACTTTGCCTTGGATTGGCCTTAAGAGTCACCAGAGTGAGATGGTGGCCTTAGTTCTGACTCACTACACATCTCCCTTGAGGATGAGTGTCCCCATGTTCTGTGCGGAGACAGCAATTCTGAGACTTACTCTCGAGGCAGACAGCTTCCGCACACCTTAGCACTGCCAGAGTCACTTGCACTTGTGAGTGTGAAACTCCATGTCTCCTTAAGGCTTGGAGCTCAGGGTACTACATGAGGATGTGTTTCAAGGGACAGAAAATGGAGAAGCTAAAGATCTTCTGTTTTGATTTTCATTTTTTGTTTTCTCACTTTACCTCAGAATTATTTGTCCTGGATAGACAGTTTTGGATGTGATAAAAGTTCACATTGACCTCGCCAGTTGACTTACTGGACTGTCTGACCTGGTAGGAGCTGTGACATGTCATCAGTGGGTCCTAGTATGATTACTTGTTCACTCACGGGTGTATCTTTTGCTTCTGTTCTGTAGTGCATAGGTAAGAGAGACAGACTATGCCCAGGTTTCATGGGTCAGATCTCTGGGCAAGGCACTTAACTATTCTGTGTCCCTATGTCCTTTTCTGGGAAATGGAGATAGCATGGTTAAGCAGAGCCTGCACAAACAGCACCCTTCCACCGTGCAGGCTGACTGGTAGGAGTTCAGGCATTATGCTTGGGAGAGCCTTCAGATCACACAGCTGTTATTTCTTGGATTATCCCCAGCCTTACAGAGTACCTGGCCCATGGAACGTGTGGAGCACAGTAAATGGAAAACAACTGGGAGCTTGCTTTTTATTTCTAATTCATGCAGAATTTAATGGTTATTTAGAAGTGTTTCCTTGATGATTTTGTCATTTGCACTTGCTAAGGCACATGACAAACCCATATAGTCACATGCATTTCTGACCTGCATATAAATGAGACAACTAAAATATTGGCAAATGAATTACAATCCTAACTGGAAATGATTTTTCTTGCCTTGTAGCCGTATTGAACACCTGAAATCCCAAAATGACCTCCTGACCATAACCCTGGAGGAGTGCAAAAGCAATGCAGAGAGGATGAGCATGCTCGTGGGAAAGTATGAGTCCAACGCCACCGCACTGAGGCTGGCCTTGCAGTACAGGTGTGGAACTGGAGGGGCAAGATGCGCGACTGACCTTTGTGCCCCTTGCAGTTAGAAATACATCCATAATAACCTGCGCATAAGTACAAACCTTGCTTTTAGGACATTGAATAGAGGGGTCAAACCAGCAAATGCCTAGTGTGACATGTATTGAAAATCAATTAGTGTCCTGAGCAATTAAGAGATTAACAGCAATAAATTAGTATTAGTATGTTTCTCTATGACTTTCTACATTCCTCCTACTCTATTCTGCCTATTTTTTTCAAGTAACCACTCAGAATACCAGTTTTCACATTATATATTTATTAATTTTTTCTGGTCTTTATCTATTTTGTACATTATTGCACATCTAGTGTACTTTTCTTCCTTCTTTTTCTTTCTTATTCACACTTCTTTCTCTTCCCCTCCTTCCCCCTTCCTCTCCCTCCCTCTGTCTCTTCCCTCCCCCTTCTCTATGTCTCTGCCTCTGTGTCTCTCTCTGTCTCTCTCTCTCTCTCTCTCTCTCT